ATTGTATTGTTTAACTAAATTAAAATGAAACGAAATTGAAATTGCATAAATCTATAATGGTTTGCCACCAAGTTTGCTTAATAACAACTCTTGGTTAAAATATTTAATAAATTCACATTTTCTGTTTGTCTGCTGCAATAAAAAGTGGTCTATGTATGTATTCAATGTAGATTGTTTTGCGAACTCGTTATATTCGATTTTAGTTTTTATTTGTGGTGCTATTTTTTCCTGTTCTTACTAGTCTCTCTACTCCAAAAGAGATGCTCTTTAACGAAATCTAAGCTAGAGCAAAATCCAAATATACAGGACGTGATATATACATGATAGTTTCCTTTCAAGACTATATATTATAAAGTCTTCTTATGTATACATTTCAATTTCAACGAACTTTAAAGAACGAATCTAAACACTCAATTTCTCACTTTAAGCCATGCAACGCCACACAACCTGTAATTGATTGTGGCTTATCGCAGGATACTAAATACAAATCTTAACTCGGCAAGGAGTCAAACATCATGACATCATGAAAATTCGTTGCGAGGACTTAGCACAAATTACAGACATAAAAGTCACACCCAAAGATTATCGTAAACTTTTACAGCAACCCAAAAAATGAGAGGAAAAGAAAAGCAACAAGAAAAGGAACACACAGAGCACAAATAAAACCAAATAAAGATTATTTTCGATTTGTGGTTAACACACAGAGAAAGAGAGAGAGAGAGAAAGAGAGAGAGACGCACATGTGCCCAAGTAGCTTGGGCTATGCATTCATGTATTTACCATTGATTAGAGTTAGGCAAATTGCAAGTGACATGTCAACAATGGGATTGCATGGGAGCACATGAACATTTATGGGGCGGTTCTCTGAGATGAACAGGCAAAGAAGAAGGCTGCATTATGTATATACATACATATACATATATATATATTAACGAAAGAGTCATCATTAACAGGAACAATGCCTAACATCCTCTCGGTTCGGTTAGCCTCAACGATTGCCAGTTGGCATTACAAGCACTTCCGGTTTCAAGGCAAGGCATCACAAGCCTTCTCAAATGCCTTTCTGCTGTTGAGCAACAACAACAACATGAAAGTTGTAAAAGCAACAAATTGCAATGACAACTAGTTATGAAACATGTATGCCTAACGGATATAGAAACACTGACTGCTTAATATTTAGACATTTACTCAATATGATCAATCACTCAATAATCAAACTCGCATTTTGTCACTCGCCAAAGGAAAAACCAAAAATTAAAGTAACGCTAAATTTTGTGTTTTTTTCGGTTTCTATTTAAATTTGGTTAATTATGTTCAATATACTGTTACATATATCAAATATGTATACCTCTTCGAATCGGCAATTCTTCAATCTATAATTTAGCATTTACACTTTTTTATTTTTAATTAATATTATATGTTTTATAGACGTTTGAAGCTCAAAAATAACAAGTAAGAACGTTGCAGTCGGGCGTTACCGACTGCGGAATACTCATTCACATCCCATCAACAATTTAGTAGTTAAGTTTCRYTYTAATACTGTAGAATATACAGGTTTTTCCGATTTGCCACACCCCAACTGGGCGTAGACACCTCATTTTTGGTCAGTTTTTAGAAAGAGATAACGTTACCCTAACTGCAAAGTTTGAATGCTTACCCTAAAAAAATGTGAAAATTACAGGGTATTTTTCGATATGCCACGCCCCTAAAGAGGCGTAAAAATTATTTTTGGGGAATCGATAGAGGAGGCTACCAGTAACTCAACTATCCAAATTTGAAGCTTCTAGCTATTATACTTTAGGAGATATAAACTTTTGCGGTTTGCCACGCCCCCTGTGGGCGGACATATATCCGACAAAACTTTTTGGTCTTGGGTGATCAGTCCGAGTATATATACAAAATTTGAGGTCTCTGCCANAGTCTCTAGCTTCAATAGCGCCGAAATAGATTGCGTTCATACGGACAGACGGACAGACGGACGGACGGACAGACGGACAGACGGACAGACGGACGGACAGCAAGACGGACATTGCACAAAACCAATATACTGATTCACTTTCGTGAATGAGTATAAAAAAAAACCGAACAATAATGCTACTCACTGTATATATCTACACATTTGTATCTTATTAATAGCTTTTGATTTGCCTATGTAATTTAGTATCTGTTATGCTTTCAACTCTCATCGCAGCATCTTGAAATCCCAATTGGCCTTCAAGTGATAATTACCTAACAAGTTTCTATTTGATTGCCACGCCAAGCCTAAAGCTAAACAGCAGCACATATACATATATATTTTAAAGGGAACTTTTTGTATAACTACATATATTGTTAGGCGCATCCGGTTGGCGACGTCAAAAGTAGACTACGCTCACCGTGTGCACAAAGAGCTGATTGTACCATGCACTCTATAGGCATTCTCCTGCTCCAGCTGGCTGTGCTGCTGCTCCTCATTCCAGTGCAGCATCCTTTGGCACTGTTTTTTGTCATGTGCACTTTCCGTGAAAAATATATCAAGCTGCAGATGGAGCTGACAGCTTCAAGAAGAATTAAACTACTTTGCTCGCTTCCAGCACACAAAACAAACGCCCAACATGCTTGTTCGCAAAATAAAAGAAAGCATATTGGCTTAAATCTATTTGTTGGAGACTCTCATAATTGGTAAATGCAACTAACTAACTAACTGTATATAGAGATGTGAGAAATTTTTAAATAATACTAGTTAAAATAATTGTAGACTTAAGCTATGCACTTATAGGTCAGATATATGCATATATAGAGAGTTATACATACGGTAGAGTCCGAGTCGGCTTACCCGGAAGACGCTGTAACCATATAAGTTTTCTCATATAAGTGGGCAACAGAATTTTCCTCGTAGTAGCGGCACGGACGCTGTAGGCGGAGTCGTTATAGGCGGATTCTACTGAATTTACGTTTGTCCTCCTCTATATATTACTCAAAGAATATAGCAGAATAACTACAACTGCGATACCTTTAAAGCAAATATAATCAAGTTTCATTTGTTAAAAAAAAATAGTTTGTTAATAAATAGTTAAATTTAATTTTTCTATAAATACAGTATTTTTAAGGTGGACCAAAAACAATTCTATATGCATTTAACTTTTATTAACAAGAGGATCAAACCCGAAATTATATCTAATTTCTATGCTTTCAATTATAATTATAGCACGAAATGAGTCAACTATAATGATTTACAAAATTTATGTACTTTAATTATTTATTCAGCTGTTCGATCTGCTCTACATTACGCAGCTATGAGTCTACAAATTTAACTTTAATGCACACACACATCACACATGCAAACCTTCACACACGCCCACTCATACACACGCACGCCCCTCGCCGCACTTTTTTCTGGCCTCTTGAAGACGCCGCCAACCGCGACGCATTCACAAAAAGTTGCCACACAGAAAAACAAACACTGCAAAAACCGAAGACAGCCTGTGAAAAATGTGAAAAAGAAGGCGGAAAGTACCAAAAAAACGAAGAAAAAGAACAATAAAGGGCAGACAAAGTGGAATGAAGATGAACAGAGCGAGAAAAACAGAATTTGCACACGCAAAAGGATTCCACACTTCACTCTGGCCTAACCAAAGTAACTTATGCGCTTCGCCAACTTTTCAAGTTTGCTGCATATGAGAGGAGTTATGCGGCTGCCCGGCGCTAGATGGCGCCTGTGGGCACATTCAGTGCAAGGACAATGACAGAGCAAAGGAGATTTGTATAGAGAGTGGAATGACAGGGAATGGAAAAGTGCAAGAAGCCAGCAGAAATTGGAAAAACAAATTTGTGCAAAAGGAAAAGCCAAAAATTAGAGCAGAATAATAAAGAAAATAGTGTGCCCAAAGCGAAAACAAAATTAAATGTTAATCATTCAGCAATTGCAGATAGTTTAATTAAATTCCTCTAATTTAAATGCGAAAAGTTAGAATTGAAGTTCAAACTATTTTTAAAATTCCTTCCAAAATATTTTTTTAAAACAAGTAAGGACACTCTGGTTGAGACTGCTCGTTTGAGAGATTCCCTGAACCCTATGAAAGCGCTGATATTCCAATAATTATTCGCAGAGTTCACACATAGGGTCTGTCCCTGGACAGGCAGACAAACCGACGAACAGAGCTAGATAAACTCAGCTTGTCGCCCTGATCATATGTACTTGCTATATAATATATATATGTCTGTATGTATATACCTTATGGGCTCTGCCACGCCTACTGCTGGGCCACACAGGCGACAGCTCGAAGAGCGTCAAGTGCCACAGCTTGTGGCACACTCTGTGCGGCAAGTGTGGCTCACATTTGTTGACCAAACGAGCGCGTTGCAATATTTTAATGGGCTGCCAGTGGAGCTTGAACATGTCCGCATGTCTGCCTTGTTCAAATGCAACAAGTGCAGCAAAAGCTGCTGCCATTTCGTGGCAAAAATGTGACAAATATTTACTAAAAACAAATTTCCATTAAATTTGACTGTGGACAGAAATATTGTACATCGAAAGAAGGCGAAACTTTAGAAATTCATGTAAGTTTTTAAATTAAACTGAAAACATTGATACGACATTCAAAGTTGAAATTGTAAAAATAAAATTGTTTCATTTAAATGAATACAGTTTTTATATTGTTGTTCAATTTTTTTTTTTTTT